ATTTATATAAAAGTTAATTAATTTAATAAATACAATATATATATACACACACACACACATATTTTACCTTTAAAGGTTTTGTTGCAGATGTGGCAAAAGTGTGGTCGACCTTCTTGGTGTTTGCTGGCTATGTGCCGTAAGAGAGGGCCTTTCTCAGTAAAGCGTTGCTCACAAAACTCACAACTATATGGCCGTTCTCCTGTATGCGTGCGGTGGTGTTTGTCCAGACTCGCTGCTCACACAATCAGCAAACATCTTGTTAATAATACAAAACTAATAGAGAAAATGCATGGATTCAGATTTGAAAAAGAACTGGAAATCAAATAGGCCAGAGTTACCTTGTGTGCGAAATGTCTTGCCACAGAGGTGGCACTGGAAAGGTTTCTCTCCAGTATGTGTTCGAAGGTGCATGTTGAGATTAGCTTTCTGTGTAAAAGCATGATTGCAGAACTCGCATACAAAAGGACGCTCATTTCTGGAAAGATGCGCAACAAATACAACTCAGCACTAATCCACTCAGCCAACACAAACATTCAACATGAATTACACATATAAACATCACAAAAAGGTTTCTTTCTTGTCCAGCTTTCTTTCGTTCACATTGTTTGTCTTTTCACCACATGCATGCATATTTCTAGCATTCACTAACAGCCTCGCCTTTGAATAGCAGGCAGACATAATTAGCAATCAGTTTAAACAATAAATAAAGCATGTTTCAGTTCTTTGTTTCTTTATGGTAATATTTAATGATGTCCTATGTTTACCTGTGAATGGCTTTGATGTGCATTTGCAGGCTGTTGCGGCTGGAGGCCCGATGCCCGCACTCCTCACACACAAACAGTTTCTCACCACGATGTTTGGCTGCCTCGTGTAGACGTAGCTCAGTGCGGGACTGGAAGCACTTGGGACACAATGGACACTAAACGAGACACATGACAAATAATCCATTACACAACTTTTATCAGTGAAACATTACATTTAATCAGTAATACCTGATTCTGTTTAGTTTTCAATGGCAGGGCATTATGGTATTGCAGACAAGTTATTAGCATTAGAGTCACTTACTGCGTGTGGTTTAGGAGCTCCGTGAACTTTAATCATGTGGATCCTGAGGTCTTTCTTCTGCATGAACTGCTCAGGGCATGACGTGCACTAATATGACAAGTAAAATTACATTGGCACAATGTCCGTTGACAAAAGGTCGTATCTGACCTCCACAGTGGATTACGTACCTTATTGGGCATCTCTCCTGTGTGTGTGACCGTGTGAAGACGCAGCTCATGTCGCTTTTTAAAGGTCATGGTGCATTTCGAACATGAAAACACCTGGCACAAACCGAAAGTTGCATTAAGTAAATACTAGTAATATAAAAGCTGTAATATAAAACCACCAAAAATGACACATTATTGTTATTTTATTGTATGTATGCATATTGTTAATTGTCTCCCGCTATCAAACTCACCACTTCTGCTCTGATAAGACAATTCCTGGCTTCATGCTCCAGCAGGTTTTCCTTCCTATAGTAGCACTTCCCACATTTAGCACATTCAAAGGGCTTCTCTCCTGTATGTCTCCTTGCAGACAGCAAGATGGAAGGAAAGACAGAACTTCGCATTGAGGCACGAACAATCATATGAATTGCTTATAAAAAATTACAAAAAATAATTAAATAGCAATTACAAAAAAAAACACCAGGCTCTTGACAGCCTCTATATATAACATTAATCTTATATACAGTGGGTACGGAAAGTATTCAGACCCCCTTAAATTTTTCACTCTTTGTTATATTGCAGCCATTTGCTAAAATCATTTAAGTTAATTTTTTTTCCTCATTAATGTACACACACCACACCATATTGACACAAAAATAAATCTGCAAAGATGTCAACAATTCTGTGTTTTTCTGTCAATATGGGGTGCTGTGTGTACATTAATGAGGAAAAAAAATTTACTTAAATGATTTTAGCAAATGGCTGCAATATAACAAAGAGTGAAAAATTTAAGGGGGTCTGAATACTTTCCGTACCCACTGTATGTATATAATATTATTTACATAGAAACATACACTACTGTTCAAACGTTTGGGGTCAGTAACTTTTTTTTTTAAGAAGTTAATACTTTTATTCAGCTAGGACACATTAAATTGATCAAATGTGACAGTAAATACATTTATAATGTAACAAAACATTCTATTCCAAATAAATGCTGTTCTTATGAATTTTCTATTCACCAGAGAATCCGGAAAAAAAAGTGAAGTATCACCATTTCCACAAAATTATTTGTGATTATAGCAAATCAGCATATTAGAATGAAGACTGCAGTAATGGCTGCTGAAAATTCAGC